TTTTTTTTTTCGTACTATGAATAGATATAATTGTAATCTCCTGTTATTGAAAAAGATTTCGAACTATGTAAAACGAGAATTGTTTAAAGACTGATCTGCCTTTGATGATGAATGAAAATAGGCACAAGGATTAATTTACTACGGAATGAGAAAATTAGATTTACTTAAAAAAGCAAGTTACAATACAGGTTATTAGATTTTATAATGCAGGTTAGTAATTTTTTGAGCACGATTTTATGATATTTATGTTAGCATTATTATAATAAAGCCTATTCTACAAGATATCAAATTTAAAATGAACTACGTAATTATTCTTTAACTATTATGCATTAAAAAACAATGTTTAGTTTTATTGAAAAACATTGAAAAACAAGTAGAATTTATTTTATTTCGAGGGGAACATCTCTAACCACAAATTTTATTTATGTGAATGAATTGATATGAAAGAATTAACTATATTTTTTTATTCAAATGAACGGGCAACTTCTTCCGTATTACGAATTTATGAATCTACTATGTATTTCAAATGTATTTCTTTTAAAATTACTATTCAAAACTTATTTTAAAATTGAATTTCTCTAAAATTTCGTTTACCACAGCAAGTATTCGTGAATTCCATCATAAATATGATTAATAATATGAATTACCATTATTTTTAATTACAAGCAGATTTATTTATTGCTATTACAATTACAATCATTTCGGAAGTTAGTATATGTAATATGCTTCATTTCCGTATCAATCCAATTTATAATGGTTCATTAAATACCTAACGAAATTATAGATATGGTTTGAATTTTAGGAGAATGTTGAAAAAAATACAAGAACAACAACAGTTGTATCCAGATTACCGAAACCCAACTCACAGTCGAAGATGTAATACCTTTTACAGATATTTGTTAAAATTAATGTAGAATTCACGGTCATCATTTCAAATACCAAAGGTAGATAAAGAAATAGTTTGTGATCAATGAAAGTAAATTTTAAACAATAAGAAAAGATTTTCGATAGCGTTGAAACATTTACATCGATAAATTTGTTATGGAATGAACTGAATTTAAAAAAAAAGCCGACTTGAAATACATTCATCTAGGTAAGATTTGTAAACATCACAAAATGTTTCTTCAAAATAAAATAAATTATTACTCAAAAAAATGAAATTTGAGTTCCCATCACCGCTCGTAGAATAACAAAAAAAAAAGTTGGAGATAAAAAGAATATAGAATCAGCGTTATAGAACTAGTCTTTAGTTATAGAACTAGTCTTCGTTATAGAACTATAGAACAAACAATTATTTTAACATTCAATTTTCACTTTTTTTTTAATAGTTTTAATAGTTTGAGAAATAATTGTGTGGTCAGTATATTGTGATCTAAGAGTTTCTTTTATTCATATACATGTAATGATTTTATAAAGAGCTATTTTCATTATTCATATAGACTGTCATATAGACTGTTTTCATTATTATATGAGCGATTTAATTACACCTGATGCCGATTAATTGCACCTAATTTTATGCAATTTTATGTATTGACCTAAAACAATTTCAAAAAAAAATTAAATGATTTATTGAATTAACTATGACTAACGTTCAATTTTCTAGAATTGATATTCTACATTCCAGAAGAATTTATTTATAGATGTTGAGATGCTTTTTTAAAACAATAACCTATAGTTTCAAGAGGCCTTCCGAACCATGGGGTCGCCATGTCATAAACACAAAGAATTATATAGGTAATGGGATAGTTTTTTGAAAATAACCGTTCCCAGAACAGCCACCTCACACGAGTTACTCTCATAGGCGGCGATGGGAAATTTTGAAAACTTTCTCCAACACTTCCTGATTCGTCTTAACATATCCCCTGCTCTGTAGCTTCTCAGAATGCTTTAGAAAGAATAATTCAAAATTGGTTACAAAAGAGAACTTTGAGAAAATCAGAACTGAATTTTAAGAGTATACAAGACAGCAATTTTAATAGTAATTTGCAACATAAGAACACAGTGACTTTATCATTTAATCAAGGAAACATCCAATCATCATCAATATTCGTCAATATTCGGCTAAGGATTACCTTACAAATTCAGTTGTCAGTCATTCAGATAAGCCAAACTCTCTGAATCTAGCAGAAACCATCTAATTATACAAAAAGCCAAACCTACTACATAATAAAAACTGTCCAAACCAATCATAGTCGTTCAGTTTTCATAACAGTGAGTGATCGTTTGAATCCCAAAGAATATACGCAAAGATATATATATATGCACAACGGTCATAAGTGTCTTTAATCATCAGCTTGCTCGAAGCTATCAATGAATACGGACGTGTTTACAAGCAGCCTGAATTTAGATGTTAGAGTTCATGCGTAGCAGTTGTATCGGAGTGTTCAGTTTGAAAATCGACAGTGAATTCGAGCATACGTGTCGAAAGTGATCACACCGCATCACGGTTGTGAAACCTGCAATCTCACAACAGCGGAGAAGGCAACGGAGTAAACTTTAGTATCCGAAGATAGAAAAACGGAATCTGCGGCAACCGTTTCATGACCCACAGGAAAGAGAAAGGCAATAGAACAAGAGACGAAACCTACAATAATTAAAAGGAGATCATCCTCCCCCGCGAACTTAAGCCCAACAACGCTCATAACCGCAGGTATGGAAACGATAAAACCAAACGTATCTCAACCAAAAATATATTTGGCATCTTCGCGGAATGCCTAATACAAAACGCGGAATGCCTAAGACAGACGCGACTAAGAACAAAAACACAGAAACACAAACACGCACAAGCAATATCACTGACCAATCCAAGATCAAACCACCCAATTTATATACATGACAATGTAAATTATCCTAAATTACTTGAAGCTCTGAAAATCAAATATAATAACCGATTCCATGCGAAATATACATCCGAAAAATTAAAGGTCATTTCAAAATATAACGAATCCAAAGAACTATGTCGTCAAGAAAAATATACAGTTTCACACGTGCATGGTTAGTAACGGAAAATTTCTCACCGTGGTTCTAAAGGGGCTGATAAAACTTTCTGAAAAAACCATCATTAGCAATATAAAAAGCCAAGGACTAAATCCCCTAAATTGCAAATTGCTATTTTCTTTGCGCCTGGAACAACTCTTGCAAAAGTTAACCAAGTTAGGTTCGTTGAAAACTTGAAAATATGTCGGAAAAGATTCGAATCTAAAAAAACGATGATTTAAGTGTTATCGGTGTCAGACATATGAACACTCGTCCACAAACTGCAACAAAAGAGGCAGTTTGTGTAAAATGCGCCGGATCGCACATAGATCAACACTAGAAAGTACCAAGACCCTAGACATACCTAAACGTGCACAAACTGCAAAGGCACCCGGCTAACTATTCCAAATGCCCAGCGCTACTTGCTTTTCTCGAAAAATTCTTCACAAAATCTAGTTGCAGACTAACATCCAACATCAATACCTATTACGACCATAAGGCTTTCCTACACTAAAGAGAACGACAAATCATACACCAAGCATGTACATAGATATAAGACAAACACACGCGCGCGACAACAGTA